GATAGACTGTTACAACGGTCACCATTTCGCCTTTAGGCGCGCATTTGCATTGTACACCGATGCATTTGTATTTTGTAAATATGGAAGTTTTAATTATTTTCGGAAAGCAAATTCGATCGCGTTCAACATGAAATTAGAATCATGCAAATGCATTTAGAGCAAATGGAATAGCTAATAAAAATATTTTTTAATCTGTGTAACACATACTTCAGGTATTTGTCACGCGATTTTACACTTTGTAAAATAAGTCTTTCAATAACTATTTTTTGATAAAATGGTGTAAAAATTTAAAACACATCCCTATCCCATATTCATGATTGCATAATTTTTAGATTGTTTTTTTTTTTACTGATTGCCAGCAGATACATTTGTGCAAGTTCGTTTTCAAATGTGTCACACGATCGATTTCGAGGTTTTTTTCACGCGTAGAATACCTTTCGACTATGCGTAGTTCGAAGTTCAATTGCATCAGATTTGTTTCACAAAGTCCTTTTGATACGCCCGGCATGCACGTTTGCGACACTGATAGCGCGCGTCCTCTCAACCGTATAACATGACAAAGGAAAAGGATCACGTCGCATTCGCGTAACGCGAATTCGAAATCAAGAGTAGAAAGAAGAAGTCAGCAACTCGCATTACGCGAGTGATACGGAAAGCCGAATTGCGTAAAAATGGGCTTGGGTTATGCCGTAACGATTTCTCGATCTATTTATACGTAACTGGTTTATGAGTATCACGTATTTTTGCACGACAGAAACTTTGTGTAAATTTTTCGTGTAAATCGCGCATCACACTTAATTTATCGAATTTTTTAAATGTTATATTTTTGTACAATCGTATAAATCTGCAACACGCGATATTTTATTCACGTTACGTTTGTTTTATCCTCACGACTATATTTGTACCGCTGCACAGTTAATTACTGAACTGAAGAACCTCGTGTTGCTTTTTACGTGATGCTTTAATGCTCTGCTGAGGCGTCCAAACGTGGTAATTAACCATTCGAGTTTCGGGATGGCTCTTTTTATGCAGAAATGAAATATAGCCGACATTCTCGACTGATTAAGATATACAAATAAATTAAGTAAAGCATTTTTGTTTTCAACATTTCTATATTCGGTCTTACGCAGCGCTTGTGAAAGCACGAGATAGATACCGGAGTAAATCACTAAGTAAATATCTCAAATTAAAACTTCTTTTCTTATTTTGCATCTTTCGGTAATGTGTCAAAATTAATTCTCACAACTTGAGTCGAAATTTTGGTACTATTTTGATATTTTTAAGGATAAATTGCACCTACTTAGCTGATTTATACACCCACATAGACCAGCAATAACCTACTTTGGTGACATTATATTTTTTTACTCTTTCCTTGAATATTTAATTCTATAAATGTACTTTAGCTCCTGCTTAAAAGGACCTACTTTAAAGCTAAATTGGCTAAAGTAGAAATTTCCGGCACTATCAGTTTTAAAGTAGGAATCAATTTTGTACTTGCAGTTCGATCTCTTTTACTGCCTTAGGTCTTACTATATAACAGAATTAAAGGTTCAACAGAGGGTCAAAATATCGATTCGGGAACTGAATAAATAAAGAATTAATGCATTTCTTATATTTGTTATATATTACTTTTTAAATGTGTTCGGTATAAATTTTGTGGCACCAAGAATTTTCAATAGACATTAACAAAATCGCCATGTCTTTACGTTAAAAAAAATGTTTAGCTTAATATTAGCGGCACTCTTTGCTAGTCAACTATCTATGAATATTTACGATTGGAAAATCTCAAGCCAAATTGTAAAAACAGTATTTTTAGTTTTCTCACTGACTTTTATATATACACAGCCGTTTTAAATAATTTCGAAGACTTGACACGTATTACCTTTTTTTTTACACCGCACTTTCGAATGAAGACGTAACGTGCAGAGTTTATCGTGCGGTAGTTACCACGTTGCGATATACGTGTATGCGGAATTTTATATATTCGGCGCCGCGATGCCCCGTCGTGCAATAATTTCCGCGACGACTCGCAAACACATTTTTCGCGCGTTTACGCTCGCGTTTGAGCCCGACGTTCGGCCAAGGCGAAATCAACGATGAACCCCGCATTTAGCCGTGTAATTATCCTGTGCGTGGCTACAGGAAAAACGTCGCGCGATTTTATCTGCGAAAGTGGTGCGTGGATGGAGCGAGGGGGCTAGGGCGAAGTGCGAGTGAGAAAACCGGAAGAATCGACGGCACGCGGGGTGCGGCGGGAAGAGTGGCATTTATGGGAAATCATAAGCCGGTGGTTAGACCCCGCACACAACTTGGTGCGGGCTTCGGAGGGAAAGGTTCCCGGCTCCGACGCGGCGCCACGGAATCCGTGGAAGAAAAAAATGACAGGGTTGCGCAGCCGATGCGTAAATGCGGCGGAGTCACGCGAGCACGCGCGGCTACGCAATTCGCAGAACGCCTCATGTCCGTTGAGCTTCCATGGGGTGGGTCGAGTAGTTACGCTCGTCGGAATCGCAAAAACGAGCCGTTCCCGCTATTGCGGCGACGAAATCCCCTCCGAACGTTTCGATCGGTCGCGAAACGACCCTTTGAACTTCGTTGCCGGCGGTCTGCCGCGCTTCAGTATCCGAGTTAAGGGTGAGTCCGTCGTTAAGGGCATGTCTGAGAGGATAAAGTGGTCGCAATGATATTCTTGTTGAGTGTGGGATTGACTTGAAAAAGATAAAAATAACCTGTATTTTCATTTTGATTTTATTGCTAAGAAATTGTTACGGGTCTTTATTATGAAAATTAAAGGTGCAGGTTATTGATAATTGAGCGGATTAGTCTGAAAACGTAACAAAAATTTTCCAATTTACACAATACTGTTATAGCCGATATAACTAAAAAAATCTGTGTCTCAATGAAACTCGTGATGCTTTAAAGCTAAACTCCATTTTCCAAATAAATTCAATCGTGCAAAAAGAATTTGATAGTTTTATAATTTATTTTAAATAAAATTGTTTATATTTTATACTTTATTCGGATTTATGTTACACATATTATTGACTGACAATTTGCGCAAACTACTGGTTATAGCTGGCGAAATTTATTATTAAATTTATACAGTCGAGAGTAATTGTGCACTTATTATTATATAAAGTCTCGGACTGAATAAGAGATATTGACGGTATACATATACTTGAGTGCATAAAATCTATTTTTAAATGGCTGGTCGTGTAAGAATTTTCACAATATAGTTAATTTTAGATGATTAGTACATTTTCAAGTAGATAAATTGGACATTATTAACATACTAGTGGATAAATAGAAACTAGATTGTTTCAATTGGCTGTAATTAACTAACGATTATAGGAAGACAGAAAACATCCATTTCTGTACTATATTAGCATGATACTATTAAGGTTGCTATTAATTTATGTCCAATAAAGACTTAGTCGGCTGTGTAGTCAGCACAATGTATAATTAAATGCTTTTCTCGCTCGATTTGCACGTTTTTACAAATCTTACTCCAATAATATCCTTTTGATCCTTTGTTCGCCGAACAAAGGTCGCGCAGTGTTCTGTTATAATTAATAAGCAACCAGCTAAAATATGTTATTGATTGCAAGAGAGATTTCGATAAATCCTGCTGTAGGTATTTCCACGGGTCAACTCTTTTTACACTTCTTTACAATTTTTTTTTAGCTTCCACGAGAAAATCAATTGATTGAAACCGCGACATTGTCTGGACATTTAGAGAGGATTCATTCATAAAATATCAAGGTGGTGTACGCGCGCGCGCATAGCAAATAGCAATTAATTTTATTTTGCCATTTTTGCGAGGCAATATAACCCGGGCAGTCCGCAAAACGATATTACGTTCATACCGTGCACACGGATAAGTAAAATGCAATTGTTTATTTGAGTTCGGAGAATGGACGTGCGCGGTTGCGCATTGAATATTTTATATTTATTCATTACGCAAATAGTCGCGTTTCAGTAATTCTCGTGGCGCATCAGTTCGTATACCGTATACCGTATTGTAATCGTGAGGCTGAATCAGTGGCATTAATATTGTACATCAAAGCGCATAATGCGCGCGGTCTAAGTGGAGCATTAAACGCGAGCGGTTTTTTCCGGATGAAAACGAAAAAATTTCTCATTGATATTCGTTACTGTCACATATATCTCGACTCACTATTTAAAAACTATTTGGATTAAATCCGTTAACTACGCTTCATTATTTTTACGTTTAAAAAGGTTTTTATCGGCATTTGTTGCGCTTATATTGCGCTGCTCATATCGTAAACAGGTTTCAAGTACACTTTTTTATTCCAAGCAATAATTCTTGAAAATTATTGCATAATTTTTGAAGTGAAAAAAAATATAGGAGTACCTAGTGGATATTTATTGTTTCAAAGAGATTCCCCGACAAAGGCAAAACTTTCGAACGTACGATTAATGTAACTTCCTTCGTGCGCCTCAGTATTTGATCAAATATCGACCATTGCAGGTACTCAATATTAGATACGTGGATACGTCAATTCAATGAGCCGAACCGCCCTCAATGTACGACGTATCGAATTCCGTTCGCGAAAAATTCACTTCCGTATCGTCGAAACCGAATATCTCGTTATCGTCGTTTCATCGACGAAACGGCTGGCATCATTCGCGAGCTCCGAATAGGGTGGAAGGGCGGTCGAAGAAGGGGGTAGAAAATGCGTAGAGGATTTTGCAAGTGAAGCAGGATGAAGACGAGTGGACAAAGGGATCTTTTAGGCAAATGAAGGACGAGGGAACGATACCGAAAGGGAGGCCCCGCGGCAAAAGAGAAATGGGATAGGCGATCAGTAGGGGGGAAGGCGAGGAGGAGCTCGATGGCCATACCGCGTGCCTGCATTTTTCAGACCGTAAATAAAGCGTACATTCCCTCGCTCACCAGTACCTCTCGAAAGCGATCCACTCGTGCCTCTTGAAATTAATGTGGTTCTCAAATAAATAAATCCGTCGTGACCGCTGTGATGTGGTTGCAAGTTTCAGCGATGGTGAGTCTATTCATGGAGTATGTCATGATGGATAAATTTAATTATTATGACCAATCTTGCAAAATAAAATGTTGATGGAATCTTGGATCGTGAAATGGAGTTTATAAAATAATTAGAATCGATAATCGACGGAATAATCAGATGCACTCGTACATTCGGGTTTTTTCGATGTATATATTTCCGTAGGGAATACAATGTATTTAAACGAGTACAGTAAGTTTCAACTTTGCCGATGGCTTGATATCTGTACGTGATTTCGCACATTACAACCGTAGAGACGACTTACGATCGTTAATGCATCTTCCAATAATTGCCGCATACGCAATTATGTATACAGTATACCTACGTAGCTAAGCTGTACGCAACTCAAACAAATGCAATCACTAATAACGCAGCTGGAGTATGCTTGTATCTGACGCATATAGTGTCTGCACCGGTAATAGCTGTTCCATCGATATCGCTGTTTCTGGTAATTGCAATTCGAAAGCGGATGCCAAAGCTCGCCGGTAATGTTCACGGTAACGTAAGTGTATCGGTGAACTGAAGAAGCATTGTTGCGGTTCACACGGAAGAGCCTGGAGACATCGTGAGTAGACAGCGCGGAGCATACAGAGGCCGAGTGCGGTGATGGATGGCCTTGTGGCCTCAGGCACCATTAACACCCCGTTGGAGCAGTGAAACACGAGGCGGAAGAGCCCAGACTGAAAGCTATACTCGACTGCACCGTGGAAAATCTGGCTCTTTGTTTCCTCGCGGAGCGCTTCGCGCAAGAAACCACGGCTGGTTCTTGTGCTAACATGAGGGTCGGGTCCAAGTTGATCGGCTCAAGTACGACTAATCGATATCGTCGACGCTACGAAACCGTCGTGTGTGTAATTGAGGAAGTGATTCTTGGCGCTCTCAAGTGCTTTCGTGACATTGCTTTCGGCCGGTTTCTTTTATTCCAATTTATATATTCTCATTTTAGCGAGTACGTAATGTACGCATCGCTTGCATCGTAGCATCGAGCGGTAGAGAAGAATGGAAAATGTAGCGAGTAGATTAATGAGAAAATTACTTTGAAAGAACGTCAAAAACAGGAAGGCGCTGCCACAGTGTAAAACTAGTAATATTTTCCGTAAAACGGTATAATGCTCCATTGAGTGAGATGGGATAAAAACAATGAAAGCTCATCAAGTTAGTAAATTAATGCGCACATAATGTGAGTCCCGGCGTTGAGTTTGCCAGAAAATTTCATTTCGTCCTGGCAATATATCTTTTCTGTTTTTGTAAAACGTAAACGATTATGAAGTAGTTAAAGCTTTTGTCGGGGGGAAACGTACGAAATTATTTATTTACAGGTAAAACGTGGAAAAATGACGCAGCATACGAGAGAGATAATACAATGAAATAAACATCGGCTGCGCTGCCGACCGTTTCTCAATTTTAATCATTCAATGTTTAAATAAATTAAAATAATAAACAGTTGAAGAGTTGCATTATCATATATGTTAAATGTTTGCACGTTTGTGCGTTTTTAATCTTTTAATGCCACGCTGAAGAATATTGTCGAGTTTGCCATTTGTAAAACCACACCGTTTCTGAACTAAATAATTTATATTGTTGCTACAATAGGCGAAATTTATTTTCTCTTCTTCGTATAAACAGTTTTCGCGTCCGAAAAATGATTACATATTCGCGATTATCGCGTTTCTCGCTGAGCTGTTTGGCGCGGTAACGCAAAATTGGGATACAAGAACGGGGAGAATTTGTTGATTGCCGTTTCGCTTCGGATAATTATCCTTCGGACGCAGGCAATAAATAATCATTGCTTGATATGCGGCGCTGTTTCATCCGGTTTACTGCCTATAACGGTCATCGTTTTTACTCGAAGCAAGCCTTAATGTCTATTCTTCACCTCGCCTACAGTCTTGTGCCTCGCGTCCGGCCGACGACAGCGTATAAACATGGAGTGATCGTTTGTAACAACCCGGGAAGATAAAAAAACTCAAATTGATGCTCAACATAACGTCGACCAGGTCACTAATGAGCCGTCATTAGGGTCCGACGGCGCGACAGGTCCCAATCGAAAACCGGCGCTGGCGGTCCATAAGACGGCGCAGAGAACGAGAGGAACCCCTGTTTTCCGTAGTTCGTATTGTATATGTTTACTGAGCGCTTACCTGCCGTTGTGATTTCGGTCTCTGCCGGTCTACCGAACTGCTACATCGAAGCTTGACTTAACCACGCGGTGGTCGGACCAGCCAGCCCGCTGGTACTGACGGCTTAATTAATTCAGAGCGAGAAACACGTGCGCGAGATAGAGACGAAACTTCAGTGTAACCCAGATACTGTTTGGACCTAGCTCAGACGCGCGACTAACAAATTGCGTTTGCGTGAAAGGTAAGACGGGACTGGACCGTAATTCCGCTAACTCAGGCGAACACAATGGTGCGCTTTTGGTCGAAATCTTAGGGATTTATCGTGATCTAGTTAGGGTTTAGCCGGTATGTATAATGAATGCATATGGTATTAACGAGGGAGATAATAAGGTTGTTACAATGCGAATGGCATTGATGAATTAATGAGTCAGATTAGCCGAGAAATATATTCTTAAAATTTTCTTCGGGTAAACGACAAATAATAATATACATTGATATATCAATTCATTTTCTGGGCTATTGTCATAACAGTTTTCTAGTTATGACATGATAATGATATTGTTTGGATTCTGGCTCAATCGCATTCGGGAGCGACGAGGAGGACAACCGTAACGAGTGTTAATTTGTATCGTAACAGGGGCCGTTTGGAAACCGGGTTGCGACGAAATCCAGGACAGGCGTTTCCGGTTTAACGACTCATCCTGAAAACAAGAATTAAGCGTCTCTTCCCCCGGGTTCCACGTCGTGATTTCGGTGTGGTGCAAAGGACGCCACACCGAAATCTGACATAGCCACGTGTTTGGATGCTGCGCGTTTGTACTGACGGCTTAATTAAGTCAGAGTGAGAAACACGTGTCGGGGACAGAGAGGGAACTCATCCCAGGGACGTTGCATGGTACTTCTCTCTGGCGCCTCTGCATTCTCTACACTCTCGCACCTCCGTTCAACACTCGGGAAAATCGGAGAGAAAGAGAGGGAAAGACGGGGCAAGGCGACTGAACCAAATATTTATAGACTCCGTCTATGTTCGAAAATTTATGGGTATGCTCTAGGCGCCTTCTACGAAAAAACGGAAGTAAAGTATTTTATGCATGTTTCATCCTCTTTAAATGCACGATGAGGCAGGAAGAGAGAAAGAGAGTGAGTGAGTGAGTGAGTGAGTGTGAGAGAGAGAGAGAGAGAGAGAGAGAGAGAGAGAGAGAGAGAGAGAGAGAGAGCAGAAGTTCGTTACGTTTTTGCGCAGAAAAATTCATATCTTTGATCTAAAATAACGAATTTATTAATTAAAACAAATTTTTTTATTATAGTGGAAGCTCGGACTCATTAAATTAAAAATTAATTATAACTATTAAAAAAATGTGCTTGATATAATTATTATTCATTATTACATGTATGTGACGGAGACGATAGATACTCTGTTTTAAGAAAAAAAAACGGTTTTTTAAAAATCTTGAAAATATTTAAAAAATTGAGCTCAGCGCCCAAGCTTTGACGAAATAGGGCGGTATTTATTAAATTTTATTAAAGCTCCTCCAACATTTTTTCAACAGAATTTTATTACATTCGACAAATGGTATGTCTCTTTCTCTTTCAGTGTTTTATTTTATCTTATACAATATTAATTTAATACAGGGTTGGGAAAGTTACTTTATAAAAGTATCTAGTTACAGTTACAGTTTTTTCGCTAAACATGTAACTAGGTACAGTTACAAGTTACTAATTTTGAAAAGTAACGCGTTACAATTAGTCAAAAAGTAACGAATCGTTACTTCGCAGTTACTTTCTTGCAATAAAAATAAAAATATTAAATCTGTAGTTGAATTATAATATAAAGTGTCGATAAAGCCCGGATAGCACAAAGTATTGGCGTAGTATTGGGAAATAATGTAAATGCAATACCGTACAATTATTGATACGTAACATTGGCGTTACATTAGCCTTTATTCTATATTCAATATTACAATTTTATTGGGCAATCTTGCTATACAGTCTAATATAGTTTGTCAGCCAATTTTTATATTTAGCAGTTATACGTATAATTTATATTTCAGAATTTTACTATTTATTCCATTGTCGTGTGTAAGTTTTATGATAAGGGCATACATATTCAGCATAGACATCTGCGGGATGCGAAACGAAGAAGATTGGTTTTTGGTTCGTGTCGCTACGTCTATTTTTCGCCGAGTTATAGCGTTTTAAAAATCGGGCGCGCGCGCACCCATTCATTGAGAAGGCCGCGCGAGTATTACGCAAGTATTACGCGAGCGTACTACGTCCCCAAAAAACTGGCATCAAAACATACGAGGCACAGGGGTTCGGTAGTAAACACCGCCGCGCGAGACGCCGCATATACGCGCCGTCTCTGCCGCTTCTATCTCAGGATTAAGATTACGAGTCGATATAATCGTCAATAACTTGGCACAGAAAAATCGTAGGACGATGATCCTGGTCTCGTTGGAAAGCTAAGATTTCAGCGCTTCTAACGGGATAAGAATGGCTTATCTCGGATTATTAGTTCATGAAATATCGTTTAATATTTCTGAAAATAAAATTGATTTTCTTCCGAGATCGCGATCACGAGTCAATATAATTGTCAAAATCTTCGCACAGAAAAATCGTAGCAAGATGATCCTGGTCTCATTCAAAAGCTAAGATTTCAGCGCTTCTAACGGGATAAGAATGGCTCATCTCGGATTATTAGTTTATGAGGCATTATTGATAAATTCCGAGAAAATTGATTTTGTCCCAAGATCGAGAGTGTGAATTAATCTTTCGATTGGATGAATCTCTCTCACGTCGTGCATTAAATAGCAACTTTAATTTATGTTCATTCAATATTCATTTGTCTATATATACACATATGTAATTGCACAGTTTCTTGTTGATAATCCCCTCCTCGGGTACTACCTTGTCGTGGTGGAGGGGCTTAAGTACCCTGAAGGGTTACTCTCTAAAAATCACTCAGTGGTTTATTACTGAAAACAATGAATATTCACTGATTTACAGTAATGATGCACTGATTAATTTTTAGAGAGTACAGACCCTAAAGACAGGACAACCAAAGGTACCCATCGCGTTCGGGAGTGCCGTATAAAGTATTCGCATTAGTAAAGACATTTCAAAGCTCGTTTGAAAGATATGTAGTCTTTAAATGTCCGTTCCTGTCGATGGCCACACGATGGTGAAATGTATAAAAATTTATTTAGATCTTGTATATATCTTTTTATGTGCCAAAAGTCGGGTGGGATATTCTTTTCTACATTTTCTCGCGCTTGTACGCGAGATTGGAAAAATAACTAAATTAAATCAATCTGAATCGCGCGCGAATTAAAACTCCAAATTATACCCTTAATAATGGCGTCGCGGTTTTATTTGAAATAAATCAATTTTAGTTAAAAATTTGTATGTTTGTTTGAACGGGTAGGTAAAAAAATGGACAGATAGGACTATAAAGACGAATCGGAATACGAGTAGATACGAATTCGGGTAGGAATTCGGGTAGGCAGGGACAGGGAGACATAATTTATTACGTTTGTCGTAGACATAAGTAAATTGTATGAAGAAAGATAAATGATAAAAATGTTAAAAATCGTATTGTAAAGAAAAGAGGACCGCTGACTGGGATCAGCGGGGGCGGCGGTGGGCCTCTTTAGATTAACTTTTCTATTGTATGAAATTTTAAGTTGG